AGGAGGGGAGGGAGGGAGCGGGTTATCGTAAAAGTGCCAAGTTCAAGTAACTTCAGCTGGAGTGGAGTACACATACAGTACAACTCACTCACACCCGTCCGGAAAACCCATTTTAATTTTTGTTTCTGTCTTTTGTTTCTGCCTCTGTTTCTGTTTAGTCCTCATGTTTGTTCATCCGCTCATGAACGAATGTATGTATGTATGTATCACACGTATGTATGTATGTATGTATGTATGTATGTATGTATGTATGAATGAATGTATGCATGTATCATATGTATCATGTATCATATGATTAGAAAGTGATACACCGTATCCTCACCATTTACATGAAACTTTTTTCTGCAAGTCATTGAGAGGGGGGGGGGGGGTTGCTAGCTAGCTAGCTAGCTACCGTAGCTATCTTTTTACTGAAATGATTTGCTTCTGTCTGTCTTTGTTTCTTTTCTTTTCTTTCCTCTTCCTTTCCCTTCCTTTCCTTCAGTGGTACCCGTTGGTAGGTATCGTACGGCGCTTTACAAGTACCACTCGAACACGGCGAAGAAGGATATGAAGCGGTCAGTCAGTCCCATGATGCGAAAGTCAAATGTAGAAAGCAACCGGTACCATGCGATGCCGACCGTGCGAGTCATGATACCGGTACCAGTACTAGTAAAGAGACCGGAGAAATACAATACGCACAATCGAGTACTGTACCGTACCGGACCGTACCACACGCACAAAACGAAACAAAAAACGAAAAAACAAAAAAAGAAGTGCGGGGGATGGAGTGTGATGGAAACATCAATTTGAATACCGGTATATATATATATATATATTTCCTGAATGTGTAAGTGCGACCTGAAGTTTCTGATGCCAAGTCCGAGAATGGAAGCCATGCTGAGACCGTATCGGTATAGCACAGTACTCGAGTACTAGTACATACATAAATGGCCACGGGTACTTTTTTCCTCTTTCGCATCATAGCGTGCTCTAATGTATCCATTCCCCCCCGCGTGCCTATCACACTCCGCACGTCGGTCGGTCGGTACTTGTACCATCCATCATGCGCTTCTCAAGCTCCACGAGAGCACGACGGTTAGTACATACCAAGCTACCGTATCACCCATAACAAGTATCCATTCGTCCAACTTTTTTTGTTTTATCCATCCATTTGTGCTGGTACTTTATGCACAAAGTCACGGTATGTACAGTACAGTACTTGTAGCAAACGCTAAGGATGGGATGGAGAAAACGATAAAAGGAAGGAAAGAAAAAGAAAAAAGGGAGAGACATGTGCGACGGAGAGGGAAAGAGGGAGAGAGAAAGCGTAGGGTCGGTGCGGGGTAGTTGGGACTTTTTAGGTGGTGGATGGATGGATGGGTGGGTGGAATGGGTGGATGGGTGGATGGATGGATGGGGCGGATGGGTTGATTGATTGATTGATTGATGGGTGGATGGATGGATGGATGGATTGGATGGTGTGGTGTGGGTTGCGTGTGGTGTGGTGTTTATGGTACTGTGCGAGTACTGTACTCGTGCTGTACGAGTACAATGATACTCTCACCGCGAGGGTACCTACTCGTACTTTTGTTGGAATGCCAGGTCGCCCTATTCCCTCCTGCCTTGTGGTTTGTATCGTACGGTTTGTTTGTGTGTGTGATAATATGTGGATGTACAAGTACAAGTGGATTTTGTTTCTGGAGATCCTTTTTTGCGCTGGGTTGCGTCGTCTTTGGCCCTTTTGAAATCATTATTGCTAAATTATTATCGAAGAGATAATTGGAAAAGAGATTAAAATGAAATAAAAGGTTACTATTGGGTTCATTTTTTAAAAATTTTATTTTCTTCTTCTCCTACCTCAGATATCATATTGGTATGATGGATACTTTTCGCTTTATATAATACATAACCTTCCTCTGATGTTGAGGTCGGACCTATCATACTCTACTTGGTGTGGTGTACTCGTAGAGTCTACCGTGCTCGTACTATAATATTATGGCCGAATTAGCACCGGCAAGTCAGCAAGTCAGCCAGTCAGCCAGTCATCCATTCGCAAGCCCGTGGCGGCGGCGATCAGTTCTAGCATGGCATGGCATGGCATGGCATGGCATAGCATAGCATAGCATAGCATAGCATAGCATAGCATAGCAGCGGGGCAAGCTCGTACGCAAGCATGTATATATATATATATCATGTATCATACGCTATGTATCTGTGTATGTATTTATGTACATACATACCGTGCCAGATAACCCACGCGTACTGTGTATATTATACATAACTTAGGCTAGGCGGACCCCGCACCGCTCACTCATCCATCCATCCACTCCGCGAAACCGAACCGCCACCGTAACCGTAAGGTACAGTTACTATACAATACAGCGTAATGGAAACGGTTATGTACTGTACCCAAACAAAATATTTCCAAAATCTTATATCAATATTTCAATCTTGAATCGGCAGAAAAAATAAAAAAAAATCGATACAGAATCAAAAAGAATCAGGCATAATACTGTCCACCTGCACCTATCATACCTATACATATACCTATAATATACCAATCTCGCTCTCTCTCTCTCTCTCTCCCAAATAAACAAATAAACAAAACGGGGCAAAACAAAACAAAATCGTAATCATAATAATAATAATAAAAAAAACACATCGGAGGAAAATCGCATCGAATCACGTCAAATTCGGACGGGTAGATGGATGGAAACAATAATTCCAAGGTTATCGTACCGTAACCCCCCTTCCTCCCTCCCCTCCGAGCCAATCTGATCCGATCAATGAAGCTCTCGAGCGTTCAGCCGCCCGCAACTCTTTCTTTTTTGATGTATGTTTCTTTCCTTTTTTCTTCACTTTTGCTTCACACTCTCTTCCGCTGGATCTCACATTTCCCTTTTATTTGTTCTTTTTTTTTTCTTCAGGTTTTTCCTTTCCTTTTTTCCCCTTTCATCATCATAGTCATCAGACGTGAGGAGAGAGGGGACATAGAGTGGAATGAGGTTTCTTTCTTTCCTTTTTCTTTTGTTCTTTTTTGTCCCCTTCTGCTCAACTTCCTCCGCAGAGCTGAAAAGAGGTATCGGAGAGGAAGGGTGTGACACAGTGTACCGGTACGAGTACAAAAGTGAAGGAGGTGAGAGAGAGAGAAGAGAGAGAGAGAGAGAGAGAGAGGAAGAAACAAGAGGGCGGGAGGAATAATCTACGGTACACCCTAATAACTCCAAGATACGCTCAAACGTACTGTACCCGTACCCCATCCATCCATTCCATCCATCCATTCATTCACCCATCCATCACCCATAACCTTACTCGAACGTCCACCTGTTTTTATTTTTTTGAAAATTTCCCTCTCTGCCCCACCAATAAACAAAAATCAAATCAACGAGAGAAAAAATCCCAAAATTTTTATAACCTTTTTTCCTCCCTTTGCTACCCACACACACGCATCCCCACTCCCACTCGTCATCCCTCAACCCCCCGCCCCCGGTGCCGCCCCATTTTTTTTCTTGTGTTTTCCCCTACCGTATCTCCCCAACACCAATACCCCCACCCTACCCTACCCACGCCTTTTTTTTCCCCGATCTACGATACTTCTTAAAGAAGCAAAGGCCGAAGGAACTGCAGAGGTTGAGAGAGAGAAGAGAAAAAGAGACAGAAGAGGAGAGAAAGAAGAGAAGTAGGAAAAGAGGAAAAGAAGGGAAAAAGAAAAAGAAAAGAAAAAAAGTGGTTGCCGTTGCGTTCTTCTCTTTGGGGCGTGTACGTTTTTCTCTGCCTTATACTGAGAGTACCCGGGTGCAAAGGAGAATAGTTCGATGATGGCGAAACGGCCCATCAAACCGGCCGTTGAACAACCTAACCCTTCAGCCACAACGACGAGCGTCTCGACGTCGGAAGACCAGCAGCAGCAGGCACAGCAGCAGCAACAGCGAGGAGGAGCTGGGGGAGGTAGCGGTAGTGGTGGGGCAGGTGCAGGAGGTGGAGCAGGAGGTCAAGATGTGGCCCCGGCAGACGTGGATACACTCAGTCCTACTACTCCCGTATCGAATAAGAAGAGGAGAGCTTTGAAGCAGCCCGCCGCAGCATCTGGTGCCCCGACCTTAGCGGGGCCATCGACGGGTGCGAAACGAACGAGGACAAACACTCCCTGGACCGCGGCTGAAGAGCAACGGCTCAAGAACATGCGAGATGCTGGGAACTCGTGGAGCGAGATCGCAAAGACCTTTCCGACCAGGACTGAAGGTAGCGTGAAGAAGCACTGGTACAAGGCAAGTTTAGGGGTTCACTTACCTCCTCCCCCGACTTGCTCTTTCTGTTCACCCACCCCTCCACCCTTTCCTTTTTCTTCCTCTATAGATATACATACATACATACACACATGTATATATATATATAATACCCCACGTTTTGTCTTTTTATACAGCAAGGAAGGGCATCTACTAACAGAAGTAGGACATGCATTATGCAGAGTTCGGCGAAGATGAGGTGAGTGAGGCGCCAACACCCATTTCTCTAGAAGAAATAAATGTCTTTTTCTCAAACCTTTCGTCCCTTTCATCTTGCTGACTTATTTTTCTGGCTCACAAAAACGAAGAGCGCTGCCTTGCTTGCTGCCATCAAAGAATATGAAGCAAACAAGTGGAAGGTCATTGGAACTAAGGTTGGGAAGCCGGCAAAGGTACGTTGTCTTTCTAGTTAAAGCATAAGATGGGGAGAGGTAAAACCTACACTTTTGATACTTGTCCTGGCTAACAAGTGGTCTTTATATATAGGCCTGCGAGCAGTATGCAAAAGAGCATTTTGCCGGCAAGTAAAAGGGTTTAGCATCGGGGTTGATATCGGTTGGGAACATGGTGTCGGCGCATATTGAAGGGTTTTCTTTGTTCCTTTGCTTATCCTCCATTTTTCATTTTTCTTCCTTCGATTGCTTTTCTTTGCTTTCTGGTCAGGTTGTCGGTAAACGAGTATTGTTTGTCTTTTCGTCTTGGTTCCGTCCCTTCTAAAAATCATTTCGATGTAGTCTCCCGTGGATGTGAAGAGAAGCGAGTCTTGAATATCCCTCCCCCCCCTCCCGCTCTTTTCTCCTACAATACTTATCATATTTTCTAACATCTCATCGTCATCATCATCTCCATCATCTTCACCCTCATCATCATACCTTATTTTTATTTATTCCCTTTCTTCACATTTCGGGGTTCTTTTTTAATCGGTGGCACTCGACGGCGTCTGCGTGGTTTGGGCGAATTCTGTTGGTGAGTTTTTCTGAACAAGCCATCGGGGATTATTCGGCTTTCGAGGTTAACTACTGTAATCGTCTCTTTTCTTAATTTTGATAAGGTTCCATCCACTCGTCAAACTGCCACTGGTCCTCCCCCAATTGACGTCACGCCGACAGCTGTCACAAAAAAAAGGAAAAAAGGAAAAAAGGAACAGGCAGGATCAATATGGGTACCGGATAGGGTTTGATGGTGGTGGTGGTGGTGGTGGTGGTGGTGGTGGTGGAGGCGGGATGTGTTGGTGTAGATCCCCCATGCTATGACGGGGAGGCCATAGTCTCGGTTCCGGCTGATCAGCCGCTAAATAAGAATAAAGAAGCTTTAACGAGACGTCTCGGTAAAGCTCACGCCAACGTTGTCCCTGGACTCGTTTTTTCTTTTCCCCGGCCTTGGGAATTTTTGTCTCAGCACTGGTCGATGCCGAGCTTTGGTGAGCTCCTGATACGATGAGAGTAAGAGAACCAAAAGAACTGGTAAAAAAACAATAGGGTTAAGAAACAGTACCTGGAGGTACCCAAAGCTACTCCGAGCTGCTGACCGGGGGTCTCGTGAGATTCGACCAACACCATGATCTGCCGTCCCGCGTGAGTTCCTGCAGCGAGAAGGAGAAAAACTGAATGTAACAGAACAATATTTCGAACTCCCGGCAAATTGTGGCTGAGCTGTGTCCAATCTGTATGAGCACTGTACGCGTGGATGCACAGTCACGTTGCCTTTTTTTTCGGTCTGAAGAGAAAAAAGGATATTGCTGTGTTTTTTTTCTTTTTCATTTTTCTTTTTTCATCCTTCGAACGAACTACCAATAGTTCCGAAGAAAAGAAAACAAAATAAGAAATAAGAAAAAGTTATTAGCAGAAGTCCAACAAGCTCGTAACGCCAATAATTCACCAATTTTCGTCCTCCGATACTTGTTATATTAGGACGGTTAAACGCAGCACCAATCCTGTCGGCACATTTCTATAAGACAGAAGAGAGAAGATCATACCCAGTCGAAAAAAAAAAAAGAGGAGAAAAAAAAAGCAATACTTCACGCCAACTCTCCAAGCCCAGTAAGAGCTCCGAAATCGTTCCTTTTTTTTCTTTTTGAGATGACGTTCATAAGGAGGTAAAGGAAGTAATCTCCTTCATTGGGAAGGAAGCAATGAACAGAGTTCCTCTCTACCGGTAATGTCCCTTTTCAATCATCCCTTTCGGGAATGCTAGAGATTTTCATTTGAACGTCAGCCCTAAAAATAAAACATAGAGATCCGAAGGAATGTTTGTGTCGTACCCACAATTCCCGATCAACCGGGCCACTAGAACCTTCTGATCGAGTTTGTTATCAAAGAATCGAAAATAAATCATTGACACCGCGAGGAAGAGGGGAATGGGTTTTTTTTTTCGCTTGCTCACAAAAAAAAAAGAAAGACAGGCAAGAGATTGCACTCTCGTCTCGTTCCCGCCAAAAAAAACTTTATCGTCATGGTTGTATTCCTTTTTCTCGCCTTCTTACTGTGTCCCTATTCTAGGTATATCTTGTGAGTTCGGGAGGAATTTTCCGATTGCCCCAACCCCGGATTCAACATGACGTGGCATAGCAACGAATCGAAGTTTCATTTACCAGGTTGGACCCTTCGACTAGAACCGACCCACGATCCTTGATCGGTAGGCCATGTTGGAGGACTCATGCAGGTTATTGGGCTCTAAGCGAGTGGTAGATGCCGAAAATATCTTCGCAAACCAAGGGCGTGAGAGAGGGAGCGTTAGTGCGATGCTATCTCAGAGATCTATATTGCACATGCAATAGAACGGATAGAGGTGGGGGTGAAGGATTGGTTTGTTATGAAGGAAGAGGAATATGGGTCCGGTAGCCCCTATTGCCTGCCGCTATTGCTCGGATGCGGTAATGACGCGGAAATCGAAATTGGGTGGTGGATAAGCCCTGTAAAAAAGGCATAACACAATCTTGCGATGTATAGCAGACAACCACATGACATGGTACGAGGAAAGCCTGCAAAAAGACCCGATGCTCTTCTTCACCATCAAAAGGATCCCGGTATCGAGATGCAACGTTGCACCTATCGGTACTCGACGAGGTATATGCATAGATATATGCCCTAATATGCCGGCTAGCGGAGCGCGCCCTGGGACCCCATGGTACACCCTGAACCTCGGTGGAGGATTAGGGGCAAAGTGGTAAGGTGCCTTTTTTGCACCTTACTCCAGCAATCGCAGACGAAGTCTGTTATGGGATGGGATTTAATAAACTCGGGCATCCACCACGAGGCACCAGGACACTCGGGCCTGAATTTAGTACCGTACTCGAGTACCGTATGGGCGCTCAGACGTGCACAGATAATTTGCCATGCAAGTTTTTGATCCTAGTGTTCGGGTACCCCGTGCCGGATGCTTTTGCCTTCGGGACGTTCCCGGCTCAAGCCTCTTCGGAGTCGCTAGGGACCTTGATACCGTATCCACTGGAATGACAATAAAAAGGTAGATGAGGTTGTTATGCAACATCTCGAAGAGGAAAACATTACCGGCAAAACCTTCTTCTCTACTGTAACGGTTGGTTAGTTATCTCACCATCGACTAGGAGCGTAGAAAACTTGCATATGATTCGTCTAGTACCGATATCTCACAATTTGGGCCCCGCGAAAGCCGTTTAGATTTGAAATTGACCTCCAACAGCAGTAGGTCCGAGGAGAGAAAACCCTCAAGTTCGTGTAGAGTACCCACCAAGGAATAGAGTGGCACACATGTGTCACTCGAAAAAAAAAACCCCCCTTCTCACCCTTTTCTCGAGCAGAGTCCGTTTTTCTTTTTCCCCTTCCCTTCTTCCCTTTCCCTTTATCAGCCCCCAATCAAGGGGCAAAACCATGCAGAAATTCCATCGGAGAGATTAGCGGTCTCTAACCGAAGGGAATAGCTTGATAGATCTCAACTTGTGAGAGAAAAACTCCGAAGTGAAGGATTTAGCCATTCTTCCTTCCTTCTAGATGGATCACCGGTATCATCGTACCGGTTCTGAAGAAGGGGGCGTTGGTTAAGGGGGGGGGGGAGGAGGGGGGGGGTTCCGTGGTGTTGCGGGTTGTGAAACCAAGACTCACCCACAAGCGGAGCGATGATGATGGATGATTGATGCGGCTTCGCATTCTTTTGCGCCTTCCCCTCTGTCCTATTCCTTGGCTGTGATAGGAGTTCAAGGTTTTGGAGGGAAAAAAGAAATTCTAGAATTTATTATGCATTTTCTTCGCTATTCAGATGCCGGCATTTATCTTCTCCCATTTTTCATATTTCAAGATATCGAGCTGCCCTTGTTGTGCATGGCCGTTGACCAGGGATGTGGGGTCTTGGCCGTTTGTGACAGACGAAGGGAAGGAAACAGATGTCGAAACGCGAGCCGAGAATCCGCCTCAGCAATTTAGGACGGTGAAAAGGATGCGGTCTGCGGTTCTCAAAAATTCGCACGATCGGTCAGCCATTACTGCCCGTGTAAGCCAGACCGCAAGCGGGATTCGCGTTAGAGGATGAAAAGAGCAAATCCCTGACAACGTGATCGCGCGACATTTGGGCATGAGATGCGTATCGGTATCGGCAAGGAGGGGGGGGGGAAGGGGCTGTGGTGGTGGTGATGGTGCTGAGGGGGTGAAAGAGGGGTTAGGGACACTAGTTTTTAGTGCTGGAACAGCGGTTTGTGATGATGCCCGTCACTTCACTGTGCGATACCGGTACTTCTACTCCATCCCGGGATGGGGAAGGGAAGAAAACCCTTTTCGAGCCCTGCCGAAGATCAGATGAACCATTGCTCCAGTGCAGGGCAGAGAAGTTGTCACAGTTGGGGGGAGGGGGGTCAGCAGCATCTTGCCACCGCCTCATGAAGGCTCAATCATTGATCGCCGTGATGTTATGATATGGAACTGTACGTCCTGCATAGAGCATCGGTATACGACGCGGTCCAGTTTCATGTACAGTACTAACTAGTATACGATAGCACTTTGAGTGCATTCAGTCAGGAAGCACGTATGAAAGACACTTGTAGGAAAGGGCCGGCAACAGCCGCCCCCGGAAAAAAAAAAAAGGCTTTGTCCGGCCGTTGGCAGGTGTCCTTAGACGAATTCGCGCTAAATAAGCGAATAGTGTCGCGAAAGCAGACCCGAGACGGCTTCTCAGACACGGTTCGAGCGACAGCGAAAAGCATCACTAGCATTCAGCCCTCCAATCGTGGTTCCGACCGACTGATTGGTTCGCTGATTGATTCATCAAGCGGTTGGGCGAGTCGGAGCGAGGACAGTTGGGGGGGGCGATGCAATGGGCATTGAGCGGGTGATACGGCGTGCTGTACTCGTGCATGTATCAATGGCCAGCCACAGCCTCTCCCAGCCCAGAAGCACCCGAAAACAGGGGTATACGGTATTTTGCATTGGCGCTCAGATACGCACACATTTTTTTTTACCATATATTTCGCGAATCCCTGTTCCCGGGTACTTCTGGCCAGGGACAAATACAAGTACCTGGGGGTGGATTGGGGACGTCGGGGAAACGAGGGTAAGGGAGGAAAGAAGAAGGGGAAGGAGAAGGAGAAGGAAAAGGAAAAGGAAAAGGAGAAGGAGAAGGGGAAGGGGAAGGGGAAGGGGAAGGGGAAGGGAGATACGAAGACGTTGCATCGCCGCCTGTAAATCCGAAAAGCGCTTCGAGATGAAATAAAAACCGCAAAGAACGGAAGGGTGAATAGGGATTTATCAGATGTAAAAATCTCTTGTGGACGGATCTCTGGACGATCCTCGCAGAGGAGGAAGAGAAAAACAAAAAAACAAAAACAAAAAAGAAAAACAAAACATGAGGTGCAGCGGGGAAAAAAGAAAAGTCATACAAGGAAAACCGAGAAATATACCGAAAGAGTGATAGACTGAGATAGCGGGAGGGGAAGTTCGTCCAAAGAGCGCCCCGTCGGGGATTTTTGATTGATTCGGTTTTAGTGCTGGAGATGCCACTACAGGTACGAGTGCAGTGCAAGTACTCGTACAAGTACACTACGAGAGTGATATGAGGCTAGCAATCGACAGGGCTCGGAAAAGTAGCGCACGAGAAACAACCGGTGACAGGCTCCCGGGGACAAGTCCATATGAACATCACACACATCGACCCGTACGAGAACTTACCTCACCTACCCCATTATACCTTACACAAATCTCACAGGCACTGCGCGCATTCGCCAGGTTAACGGAGACATGAACTTGGCCCGACTGGGTGCACAAAGGGGGATCTAGAATCTAAAAACGGTGGGGGGAGGGGGCGGGTGAGGGGGGAGAAAAAAAATAGAGTAAGTAAACAAACGAAGAGGGTGAAGGAAATATACTCCAGCATCCACAGCCGAACCTCGCTGTCCCGTATGAAATGCCGAGAGTTAAAGGAAAACTAGCGCCAGAACTTGACCCGTTGTCCCGGATTGCTCGTTGTACCGGACAGATTCTTCGGATTCTCCTTGTCCGGGATAGCAGGGGCGATTGTAGCTTGCTAACATTAGACTCCTCCCAGCCTCGACTCGTAAAGGGTCTCCTCGTTTGGCCCAACCGCGCTGCCGAGGCCGGAGATGAACCTGTTGCCCAAGCGATGGGTCAACTCAATCACCCGTCTTGGGGAGTCAATTGCCCCGCGCACACGCAGAAGGTGAAGTCGAAACTTGCTTGTTTCCTTGGGCCCCGCTGCTCGCCACCAACGGCCGTCCGAATTGCGTTCGACCTCTTTTCTAGAGTGCACCATACGGCACTCTGCCCAGCGGGCAAGCATCATGGTTGGTTCCTGGTGCGAGCCTCTGTCGACATGGATAGGGTTGCCGGGTCGGGGTTGGAAGGGTTTAGCGGATGTCGCAGAAGGGTCGCGGGTGCAAGGCACGGTTCATGCGTTCGTGGAGAGCTGCGCTACTCCGCTCTAATGATCTTTTTCCTCATCTTCTACTCTCCCACTCTCCCACTCCCCCCCACCCCTCTCCCTTGATTCTCTCCTGTCCCTTCCCCTGCCTCTCACTCACGTACCCCCTCCCCGCGTTCGGTTTCGGCCGCACACTGTACCGAGTTACATACCCCCCTACCGAACGGAGCAGCAAGTAGCCAACTAGCATGGCATGGATTGAAAGGGAGGCAAAGGGATTACCGGTAATAGTGATGAAATAAGGGAGAAGGGAAAGAGGTGAGAAGGGAAACCAGTAAGATGTGGAAAGGGACATCCGGTACTGGCAAAGCACAGGAGGTTGAGATACAGAGGGGTAGGAGGCTGGAGCGGAGAGGCAGCTGGCAGGAGAACCTTCATCCGTATGGATCAGTTTCTGCACATCCTGCTCATTACCATCCTGGCCATCTACGAGGGTATTTTATTTTTTCTTCTTTTCCGTTTTGCTTTTTTGTTGCCTTTTGTCGCTGCTATTATCATGATTACTATTATAATATTCCCCTTTGGGTTAGGCAGAAAAACTTATACTCTAGCACCGCCCCCCCTCCTGCTCTTTTTCGTAGGTTTGCTTCTCCCATGGCTTCTTCTCTCTTGATCTCCATTTCATTCTCCTCTCCATCCAAACCTCTTCAGTCATTTGATCACCCACAACCTCATCTCCGGCTAGCAGGTCGGCTGGCCCGGACAGCAGAGTTGGAGTGGTCCCAGTGAGGTTAGTGTAGGTTATGGGTTGGGTTGCGCAACGTGAGCTGTCAAGTGTCAGGCGCCTTCCGTCTCAAGCCTCTCCCTTTTTTTTTCTCTCGTGAATCGAGATTTCAGATCCTTGATAGCCATCCCAGGTACACTATGAGATAGTGGTCGTGGTATGAAAGTCTAAATGATGGCGCTGACACAACTGCACGGAAACCCCAGCGAGCATGTCAAGATAAAAAATCAACAACGACGGGGGTGGTTGCGGACTTAAAATTATTTTTTGTGAGTGGTGGGTGGGCTGGACTGGCTTATCCTGCCTGTCTTGTGGGGAATAACGTTCTTTTGATTGCTTTTTTTTTCTTCTTTCCCTTCTCATGTTATTTCCTTTTTTATTATTACCGTATTTTTATAATTTCTTTTCTTTCGGTAGAAGATTTGAGCTGGCTGTGACTGCGGTAGTCTCTGCCTGTACGAGGGTCGGGCATAGCAGAGTGGTACAAAGCAGGGTAGTACGCCGCAACCAGCTCGTCTGGGGGCAGAAGCCTTCCAACGCTCAACAAGAGACTGGGGAGAGCTGTTCTTTTGATAGATGTATTGAATGGGAGGCTAGGCATCTCATCCATCCGTTATATCTGTCCAGAGTTGACCGAGGCAAGAGCAAGTTGAGATCCCTTCAGGGCCATGTTTCTCAGGTGTACCGCTGCTACGGGGGTTTTAGTTATTCACCATACTTTGTACCGTTATTCTATCCCTGACCCTTGTATGTGTGAGTTCAGGACTATGCTTGCCCTTCTTCTGCTTACCTGTACTTGGATTCGTGGAAAAGGAGTCGGGAAATGCTGGTTTGGGATGGATTGCAACACAGAATTCCAGTGCTCTCATCCCTGCTCGCTGCCTTCTGGCGGGACATTGGCTGTAACCGAATCCGAGGAGAGTTCTCGAGCACTCGTACAAACCTTCCTGTCTATCGTACCCTACCACACACACGCCTGGGTCGGTCTGCCACTCCAACCTTACCTTCCTCTTTTCACCCTTCATCCCACCTCCTGGTGTTTGCCCCTTCATCCACTTCGAGAGCAGCATCATCGTCACTATCGTCACTATCATTTATCAATCCATTGCTGGATCACTCCTACCCCCCATCGCTAAGTTACCCAGTGAGCCAACTGCAATTGCTGACAAGATGCAATGGTAGGATCGACCGGTTTTCTTGATTCTCGGTGGTGGGACATCCGTGGGGGGGGGGGGGGCCGGGGGGCGTGAAGAGGGGGGGCGTATATAAATCTCAATATTATAGCCTTTCAATCGAGTCTCTAGGCTCACAGCTTGCGAGACTGGGAGCGTGTGAGGAGAGGATTGCGTACATAGAGTACTTTTTTGGCCTATATTTTTGGCCCTTATGTATAATTCATCGTTGCTATATGGTAGGATTGCTGCAATTGCATCCATCCATTTTTATGACCGATACTCTACCGGTATGATACTGTGCGTTCGAACCGCTATAGCATGCCCTTCCAAAGTCGTAACTTTTTGCGAACCAAAACCGAAAAGGGCGTTCCTATTGAGTATATCTCCGGGGGCAATGATTCTCCAGTTTCCTCTTGTTGGCCTGGATCTGTTCTGCTTTTTCCCTTCTCGTTTTTGTTTTTTTTTGTGTTTAATCTTGACATTTATACTGTTATTTCATTATTCCTTTCGTTCCGTGCACCACTTCCATGCCCCTTCTCTCTTCTGCTACTCCTGTTCTCCCGTTTCCCGTCTTTCATGCCTAGACTTGCCCGGTTTTGGTTCTGGGCCTGCTGGCTCCGTCTCTGCGTTGCCTGTGGCCGTGTTTGGCTCTGGTGTTGAATGGCGGGGGTGCTCCTCCCGGTACGAGTACTGCCTCTGCTCCTCCTGCCACTAACTACTACGAACCGCAAACCACGACCACCGCCTCCTGTTACCCTTGCACCCTAGATGCATCTACCCACTCCATTAACCTCATCCTCCTCGGCATCATCACCCTTCACCCCCCCCCCCCTCCTCCTCTCTCCTCATCCCTTCCTCCTGCCCCCTCTCTCCTCTCGATCACACTCTAGCCCAACCCCTCCTCCATCTTCCCTCCGGCGGCCTGGTGGTGCCTGAGCTTGACCCACGTCTCAAGCCCCCCCCCCCCCCCTTCCCCTCCTTCCTCACTGCTACTACGACCCACCCCGGCCCATTATTGTTATTATTCCTTGTCCCCCTTTTTTTCTGATGTTCTTGGTCTTGCCGTCGTTGCGCAAATACTATCCTATCGCTGCTGTTTTTTTCTTCCTCAGCTCCGACGGTCTGGACACTGCTCCCCGCCCCACCACTAGCCATTCTGGATACCTATACCTCTGCTTCCGCTCCGTCAAAGGTTTCTTCGTCAGCCTCCATTCAACCCTGAGTACCCAGCAGGGACTCCTTCTTGTTCATGGCATAGACGTTGTTGAATCATGCACCCAAGTCTCTTGCACTCGCCGTTCCCACAAAGCAGCTTCTCCACACGAAGTACGAGTTTCGGTTCCGGATCGACTGACCAGTCGCTATATTTCAAACTTAGCGAAGACGAGAACGCCAGAGTAGACGATTGAAGCCCTTCGATACGGGGGGTGCCAGAGAAGATCACGGGCCGGTCGACGGTACTTTGAAAGGATATATACTTATATATCGTACCACACCCCCGCGCATCCCAGCAGCTATTTCCTGTTTCCCTGGGTTATAGTTCCTCCACCCTGCAAACGTTATTTCCGGTCCAGCTCTGTCGTCAGTGGTTCCTGTGCCTTACTTGCTGCTTCCTGCTGCTCCCTGACTATAGATTTGACCGGAATACGTCTGCCGCTAAACAAACATAACGTCCGTCCTTTGTGCACACCGGTACCCCCAAAGAAAGGAAGATAATATCAATAGAAGTCCTGTTAGAGACTCCTATAATCCTTCATTTTCCAACACAGGTAAGGCTACTGGGGACATAGTCTCCGGTGCACTGGATTTACTTTCTTCGCAGTGGCTGCCCCGTATCAACTCGACGAGTACCCGTACCATACCCATCGTCATTACCACCACCACCACCACCATTCCCAATCGCCTTATATCCAACAGGAACACGAGCCTCGGGGCCTCGACTCCCTTGAAGATCTGAACGAGCCGCTGCTTCTAGTACAGCAGATGGCTCATCAAAGGCCCCCGCCACACATGGGCGGGGCAGGAGGTAGTGGGAGCCTTTACGGTCCGGGACTATCTTCGTCCAGCAAGCCAAGAGCAAGAACTCATGATGAAATAGAAATCGATCTTAGTGGCATGCGAGGAGATGAGGACGACCAAGATGTGGATTCTCACTACCAGCATCAACACCTTCCCCCCCCACCACATCACCACCCACACCCGCAACACACTCACCACCACCACATGCCGGATCAACCACCGCCCGCAAAGATAGCACGAACAAGCTCGGTAATGGGCGTGGGAGGGAGTTCGCAGATGGGAGGTTCGCCAATGGGAATACCGGGGCCATCATCACTTGCTGGGCCATCGAGCTCGCAACAAATGCCAGCGCCGGCACCGAGACCACGAGGCCCGAAACTCAAGTTTACACCTGAGGATGACCAACTGCTCGTCGACCTGAAGGAGAACAAGGCACTGACTTGGAAACAAATTGCCGAATTCTTCCCTGGCCGCTCATCAGGCACTCTGCAAGTTCGTTATTGCACAAAACTGAAAGCCAAGACCACGCAGTGGACAGACGAGACTGTAAGAAAACCTTCCCCCGTTCTTTTCCCAAATTTGGGAGGGTTACATACCCCGGATTTCCCCCTTTATAGGGCCATTTCGTATTCCTCTTCGACTCTGAAGACGCTTTAGCTTTTCTAACATCAAGGCCGTGCCGTTGCCAATAAATAAAGGTGCTACGGCTCCGAAATGCTATCCAGGAATACGATCAAGATCGTTGGCGTCTTATCGCTGCCAAAGTTGGAAATGGCTTTTCCCCAGCCGCTTGCAGAGAAAAAGCAAAAGAGCTGCAGGAGCCTTAGGTTCCGAAACAATCACTCGCAGCAACGAGGTCTTACACCAGCAGATCATTCTCCTCGTCTCTCTGCGGCTGCCGATGGCTTTTAACGTTGTCTAGCGCTGAAGCATTCGGGAATCATTTCTGCTTCATTCTATTCTTGATTTGGTTTGAAATTTCTTTAATAATAATTTTTTTGTCACAGGAGCGAAAGAGATGGTAAGAAAAAAGGCCTCGGGCGTGAGTTGGGCATGGCCGGGAAACAGGCGCAGCATATACTTTGATTCGAATTCGGGAAGGGGGATAGGGGGTTGGCATTTTTTTTTCGAATGCGTAGGGGCAATATCGGCGTTCTTTCTTTTCTTTTCTTTCCTCCTTCCCTCCCCTCATCCATTCCGTTGGGTTAATTTTTCCACATTACCCTCACTGCCTCTCCTCCATCTGCCATTTTGCTGTTCACTTTATCTGCCTTCCCTTCCCCCCCTTTCTTCATTATATCCTGGTTTCTTTCGTCTTCGGGAGGGTTTCTCGTAATTGCCCTTTGCGACTTGCCAGCAACGTGAGGTGCAATTGGCCTCTTATGTCCATCAGCGTTGATTACGGCGGTTACCGAATTTGCTTTTTTTTTGCGGGGGAGGAGGCCGCTTGGTGGGACGAGTGCTAGTTTGTGGACCAGATGTGGCGGTGGTAATAGCGGCAGTTGTTTGGTTGGGTTTTTCTTCTTTTCTTTTTTTCGTTCAATCTTTGGGATTCATGGTTACTGGTATGATGTTATGATATACCCTTACCTTTGTGAGCGTCAGGTCCATTTGTATATTGGTGGTAATTCCTGTCATCTCTTTAATTTCTATCTCTTATTCTTTTATCTTTTCCGCTTTCAAGAGATATCGCCCCCTCCCATTTTTTCGTTACCATTTCTTCACCCCCCCCCCCTTTCGATTTATTAGCATGTTCTTTTGGTGTTTTTACCCCATATTCACTATTTTCACCATCTTTTTTCGCCATTATTTGCAAAAAAAAACAAAAAAACTTCGCCATCATTCACTTCAACCTGCGATTTTTATATAATACCTGTTTATTGTGGGAGAGGGGCAATACATGTACTTCTACTCGCCTTCTAATGTTTTGGCTATTTTTTCTCCTTTCATTTTTTTTCTTTTTTCTACCTTCCATTCATATTTTTTTTTGTACCATGCATTTATATCCTTTAATCATCATCATTTTTTTCTCTTTTCGCCTGCATACTCTGCTACCGGTATATTTTCTTCGGTTGGGTTTTCAAAGAGCGGAAACGATTGTGAATTTTTCGAAGGAAGGAGGTTTTCTTCCTTTTCCTGATTCGGATTGGTGGGGAGCGAATGAGAAGCTGTATTAATATCATACCCTTGGCTCCTTCATTTTCATTTCTCATCGGACCTCTTTCTTCTCACTCTGGTCGACAAAAGGGGGTGATGAGAGGACAAGCAGCGGGCCAATCAATTGATCGATCGGCACAACCGACCGTTTCGAGAAAGAATACCTACCTGCCTACCGGTACAGTACCTGCCCTGGAAGGAGAGATGGAGTGTGGGGAAATGTTCATCCACTTGGTAACCACACAACCAACCCTTCTAATTTGTCTTGCCCATTGGTCGTGGGGCAGGCAGGGAAAAGAGAAGGGGGGAGGGAGGGAGAAGGAAGTACGAAATCCGATCCGACATCTGTTTGTAGATAACACACCTGCAGTGGGGTGGTATAGAAAAAAAAAAGTAAAAGAAAAACGTCGTGGGAATTTCCGTGCGAGATGAAGTTCGTCATGTGTATGTCAAAGCGAGGTTGTGAGTTGATTACGGTAGTTGCAGTTGTGTACTGTGCTCGAGTGTGAAGACGGGGTTTTTTTTCCTTTTCGTTGCTCCTCCTCCTCCTCTCCCTGCCTGAACTGCCCCTGGCTGCCAGTGATTTTTTTTTGGCATCATTGCCATTTTTTCTTCCCCCTTTTCGAGGAGGAGTAGGGTAGTATTGTAGGTAGGATGGCAGATACGGCATGTGTTTTTTTTTTTGGAAACGATATGACGGCGTAGTGAGTGGTTGGGTTGGGGTACGGAGTGTCGCCCGGTGTGGTGGAGTACGGTAGCTCTGAAGGGAAGGGAAGAATGGGGAGAGGTGTGGTGCATGCGCATGTATGTGTGTGTATGTGGTTCATAGATTGTGCAGTGCTTGTACGGTGCTTGTAAGGGCAGGAGAATCTCGAAACGAGTATCATGACATTGCTATAATTGCATCGAGGGATTGTAACTGATTCTGTCTGTCGATTGATTGGCTAGTCGGTGATGGGATTGTATGGCACTGGGAGCAGTAGCTTGGTTGAAGGAGGATAGGAAGGGAAGGGTACTCGTACTGTAGGGGACTCGTAGAGGATGTACGTATGACAAGCGTTTCCTCAATTCCTTCTCTCCACTCGATGCACTGTACGAGTACTCCTCGACGGTCGGGAAAGTTGAGAGGCGGTGGGTGCTATCGCTGCTGTCAATTTTTTTTTCTTCCTTCCTTTCTATCATACCGCTACCGGTAAGGGAAGGGAGCGAGGAGGGAAAGGGTTGTTGGTGTTGAATGCGGTGGAATGGATCACCGAGGGCTATATCGGGGCCCTTTATACCCCTGTGGCGTCGTGCGAGTCTGATGTCAGCTTGGTCATTGGGAATTGTTGTAAGCAGTGCTTAGTAAGCTAAGGTTTGGGTAAACAATGGGTTTGTGCACTTGGGTTGTGGCGGTGTCATGATGGTTGCTGTGCGATCGACTTTATTAAAGTTTTGGGCTGGAGCGAGACATTTTCTCTCATTGGATGGCTGGTTGCTATGGGGTTGGCGTGGTTCGATTACCGAATGATGTTTCCTTCCGATTAGTGGTGGGGGGAACGGGAGGGAAACCTATTTTCTCCATCTCTACCGTATCAAACCCCATCAACTTTCCTCTTCCATCCATCCATCCCTCCTCCGTTCATCGCCCCGTTCACATTCTTCGCTCGATCCCACTCAGCGCCTGAGAGCCATGTTTACAGGACCGGCAATCAACACCATTCGCAAGGCCATTGCGCCCGCCGTTAGAACCAGGCTCGTCCCCGTGCCCGCCACTGCGACCCGCACTTTTGGAACGGCGGGGATCCTCCGCTCCGACAAGAAGGCCGTGGATAACTGGCCAATCCCCGCCAATGTTAAAACATTCCACGGCAAGTCTCACTTCTACCCCCTCCCCTGCTCCGCATCCATTGAGTCGTGTTACATCCACTAACGCGGGGGGTGACCCTTCCTTCCTTCGTATTCTGTGCAGAAATTAAAACGGAAGAAGATCTCATCCCCCCCGGCGCCGCCCCAGGAGAGGTCGCGACGGATTACAACCAAGCCACGGGTCTTGAGCGTCTCGAGATCCTCGGTAAGGTCGAGGGCATCGACATCTTCGACATGAAGCCGTTGGACGCCTCCCGCCGTGGTACCCTCGATAACCCGATCGTTGTGAGGAGTTTTGGGAAGGAGAGGTATCTGGGCTGCACTGGGTACCCCGCTGATAGCCACGTCACTATCTGGTTGACCATCAGCAAGGATAGGCCTGTCGAGAGGTGTCCCGAGTGCGGGGGTGTGTATAGGATGGAATATGTGGGGGCTGAGGAGGAGCATCATGGGCACGATGATCATCGTGGGTTTACCTTTACCTCCCTGCCCCCCCCCCTCTTCTTCGGTTTCATTGCGGGATGGGAAGGAATTGAATAGGCTAATGTGTTACATAGATCACGGCTACGTTGAACAGAAAACCATGGCCGATTTTGTTAGGCCTGAGTATAGATAGGCAGATAACTGGATGGCGAGACCTATGGAGGGCCCCGGTTTCCTTTTTCATCCTCATTACTCTCTCTTCCTGTTTTGCCGTCGCTCTCTCCACCTTCGTCCTCGAATTAGGGGTGACTACTGGGTGTATTATCAGGGCTTGTGGGCTGTACGTTGCGCATGGAATGAATGTTGTGCAGGGTGGGGTGTTGTCGTTGTGAATAGTCAATTGATTTCTTTCCTTTTTCTTCATTTTTTTTTGCGGATTTTCTTTTTTTGTTTTAAAAAGACAAAACAAAGAATAGCTAACTATATATATCCCTTTTTCTCTCTCCATGTACCGGGCAGTGCAAGTATATGTGTGGTATGCGCGTCATGCCCTATTGGTGAGACAAGTCTCGGTAGTGGAAGCATACATTCCCGTCGGTCGGCCAGACATATGATAGGCCATACCAGTCCAGTAGTCCCAGACACGATGTCTTTTCATTCTGTTGGGGAGGTTGGGCCCGGGTATTGAGTGACTGTATGAGTTATCCACCTATCTGGTTGAGGCGATCGACCATCAACCAATCTGTCCAAATCAATTCTCGGCACACCGGACTTTGCCCTTATGCCTATCTCCAGAGATTCCAGTTACAGCACCCAATCCTTCGGAATCACCCACCCATCCACATCCACCCTTGCAAGACTGGAAGAAGCTCAATCCCTACATGCAGTAAGTAAGTAAGTAAGTACTGTACTGGTATGGTACCGCACCCCCCCCCCCCGATCCGTCCAGTTCCAGTTCCAGTTCTAGTAAGTAAGCAAGTAAGCATACCATGATAGCACCGAAACGAGAATCTCCCCCGTGAATCAAAAAACCCCCCCCTCCTCTACGGCACCGGTATGTGTAGTACGGATGGGAGAAAGCTGTTATGGATACGGCAGATTTTTACGGGGGATAAAAATAAAAATAGATAGATTAATTGGTGGATGGGTGAATGAACATATAAATAAATATATAAATGAGCGGACGAATAAATAAATGGGGTATGGTAGGTAGGTGGTGAGTGGGTGAGTGGGTGGTAGGACGAGGTACAGTACAGTACATAGCTTGTAATGGGTAGTACTTGTACTCGAGTATGGTAAGATGGTAATAAATAGAGTGGACTAGTGTGAACGTGGAAGTTTGGTAGTGGATGTTTTTTTTATTTTTATTTTTATTTTTTACTAAAAGGGAAGGATGGATGGGGTACTGTACTGTACTGTACTGTACTTATTCGTTATGATGGCTAAGTAGGTACAATACTGTACAAGTATGTATATGATATGACAGGCACGATATCGTATCCTACCACCGGACAATTAAATAAAAAGTATTAAAAACCCCTGACGCCAAGCCCCTCCCTTCCCTTCCCTTCCGTCAATAAATAAACTGCCGTATCATTACTATCCACTTAACTCAAATGTTTTTTTTTGTTTTTTTGTTTTGGTTGGTTCCATCCTTACCGTACCTTCAAAACGTTCCAGCATGTACAGTATGTATGATATAATAGTGTAGCATCATACGTATGACGACATTGTTGAAATCCAAACATGGTACCGGTACTGTACAGTACAGTGCCATCTAGTGCTATATATGATGACAGTACTATCACAGTACAAGTAGGCTACTACCGTTCGTACGATATAATATGAATACAACGACTATTGCCCTAAGCTAACCTTCTACTAGTATTCTACTACCGGTGCTGTACTATATCATACGATAGATACGGTAGGTGAGTAGGTAGGTAGGTACGGTAGGTGACCTTAGTTACGCATTCGGACGAATACAAACAAACGCTACAGAATTCTATTCTATTCTATTTAATGTTCTGTCGTGATGCTTTTTATTTAATGACACTCGCTCACCGCAGTACAGTACAGTACGGTACTCTATTCTAGCAGTTATACATACATTACGTTACGCACATATCCTTCCAAACAGACATCAGAATAGAGAAAATAAGAAAATAAAAAAATTAAAAATAAATCCCTCACCGTCTCCATTTTATTTTTATTTTTTTCATTCGTTCTTTCTCCCCTTATCCCCTTACAGCCGTGAGTTATCGGTTCAACGGGTTGCACTTTAGTTGAGTGGGTTAGTAAGTGACCTAGACTACCCTACTCCCCCCCCCGTACAGGAAGTGCATCATAATATGGTTTCGTATAAATAAGTTATGGCCATGATCCGTGCATTGTTCTTGTGGTACTGTACCATTTCGATTAAACTATCCTATCCCATCCAGCCCATAATGATAATGTCTTAATGACGGGAAATGGTGGCACCAAGTATGATAACGGTATAGTATAATACAGTACAGTACAAGTATGGTACGATACGCCTATGATACCGTGATAAACCATATAAGCCCAAGCATAACTTAACCAAAGTATCATCTTATTCCATCAACCTGTCAAGTCGGTCTTCCACTACCGTACTGCAGGCACCAGGGCAAAAAAAAAAAAAAAGGGAGGGAAAAAAAGAGAAAAAGCAAAAAAGCAAAACAAGGACACATGATCACTTCCAGGCACCACTCCCCCCCCCCCAAAAAAGAGAAACCCTAATGCCTCCCACCCCTCCCTCCCGCCTGCCCCCTCTTATAAAGCCGCAAAAACTTCCTCCTGGAGGCCTCGTGCTGGACCAGGGGTGCGACGTACTCCACCTTCTTGACCCCCTCTTCACCGAGAAACTTGAAAGGCTCGTGCAAAGCCCTTTCCTCCTTGACTCCCCTCAACTCCTCCACCCAAGTGCGAATGTACTCGCCTTGGGGATCGAACCGCAAGCTCTGCTTCACCGGGTTGAGTACGATAAAGTACGACTGAGTGTCGGCGCCCACCCCGGAACACCATCCCCAACCGCCGTTGTTGCTGGCAAAGTCGCCGTCGATGAGGTGCTCCATGAAGAAGCGCTCGCCCCGTCGCCAGTCGATTAGCAAGTCCTTGGTTAGGAAGGAGGCCACAATCATGCGTGCACGGTTGGGCATGTATTTCGTTTTCAGGAGTTGGCGGATGGCGGCGTCGATTACCGGGTAACCCGTGTGCCCGGTGCAGAAGGCGCCAAAGTGGGATTCTGCGAGCGAGGTTGAGCACCAGGGGATGGTGGAGCAGCGGAGTTTGAAGGGTTTTTTCATGCTGTGAGGGGGGGGGTTGGCTTATGGTAGGTCGAGGATGGATGGGAGCGTATCATACCAGACGAATGGCCAGTTCACTAGAACGTGCTTGTAAAATTCTCTCCAGGAAAGCTCTGATATCCAACTATTGGTAGGTTTAGGAAGTGGGCGCCGTCAGCCGATAAGAAAAGGTAGGATATGTGTGTATGAGAGAGGGGAGCAGGGGAAAAGTGACCACGACATACGTCTGAATCCCTTTACTCCCCCGGTCCAGCGCCTTGATGGAATTCGCGTTCAGTGCAGCGCTCACTGCCTGCCTAGAAGACAGCGTGCCAGCAGCGAAATGCACGCTCAACATGCTCGTCCCGCTATCCGCGAGACCGTTCTTATTCTCGTGGTATTCTTCCACCTGGTCCTTCAGGAACTTCTTGAGCCTCTCCTGTGCGGCGTGTTCGCCTGCAGGGTACAAGTTGGCAAGGTATTCTGCCTGCTCCTCCCCTTCGAGCACTTTTCCTTGGGGTGCACTGGGAATAGGTGAGTCGAAGAGGGAAGCGTGAGCCTCTCTGAACGAATCCGGGTTGCGCTCCGGTGGTGGGCAGAGCTCCAGACCAGATGGGCGAGAGTGGATGTTGTCGACCCAGGCTTTGAACCAAGGGGCGTGGGCTACAAAGGGGGTTCCTTTGCCCTTTTGTTATACCAGATCGATTAGCATCACTGGAAATCACTCAACCAACAAACGAACCAGCGAGAGTATTAAAAGGGAACAATAATAATACCTTGGTCACTAACTCTCCCGGGAGGACTACACACAAATCGTGCACGACCTCCACCGAAACTCCATATCCTACCCCATCCCTAACAATTTTCGCATCCCGCCTAAGCTCATCGACCTCATATTCCATATTGGCAAACAACCTCCCAGCCTCCCACTGTCTACACAGCTCCAGAACCCTCCTCCCAACATCCCTCCTCCTCTCCACAACCTCAATCCACAACGGCACTCCAAACCTGCCGTCTAAATCCTCCTTCAGAATCCTTAAGCTCCGCAGTGCAAAATCCAACTTTGCCGGCGACACCACATGCGCCCCCAAGTCTCGTGGCGAGAGCACGTACAGCCCCACCAGTCCAACCCCTCCTCCAGCTGCTTCCCGTGCGGCCTGGGAAGCGAGTGAGAGAGCAGTATTGTCCTCGAAGCGCAGGTCGCCACGGAACCAATGCACCACGCAATCCCCGACGGGAATGCGCGAGCGTTCAGCGTTGGTGATCGAGAGTGTCGAGAGGAGCGTTTTTATGGGCTTCTGCCGAACACCGGTCATGTATTCTTGCGCATGGGCGTTTGAAATCTCGTCCGGGTAGTAGCCATTCACCTCTGGGGGATCAGGAGATGGGGATGGAGGAGGAGGAGGAGGGGGAGAAGGAGGAGAAGGAGAAGGTCGGGGTCTGGCTCTCTTCTTCTTCATACTCCTACTGCTTGTGGCCTCATCACTGCCACCCCCGGATGGCCCCGCTTTAGAGCTCTTGCTAGAAGCGCCTCTTCTCTCCGACATATCCTCAGTATCAACTGTAAGTCCTCGGACAAGTTTCTTGAGAGAAAGATCTCAGGTGTAGTCGTAGCAGTGGTGGTACCCGGAACTCGTAGCAGCTTTCTCGACCTTCCTCTCCTATATGCCATGCTCGTCATCCGTCCCGTCGGATTAGTGCGAGTACCGTAGACGACGAAAAATAGTGGCATGGACGCGTATGATAATCGTGACACCGCCGACCCCACGGCACGCGCGTATGGAGGAAAGCCTGCCCCCCCCCCTGCCTAATCCCACGTTCGCGGATCGACATGTAAGTTAGAATTCAGCTTATCATCATACGACAGAATAACCGGTAGATTTAGCGAGGAAACAAGGGTTAGGGTTTGCCATTGTTTATTTGGAGTGTTTGGATTCATGAACGAGCACTCGGTGCTGTTAGAATGTTTTTTATTGTGAAAGTATTGTGAGGAGTGTTTTGCACGGCAAAGAAGATTGTGTGATAGAGAACGATGAATGCTTAATTGTCTAGAAAGGAAGAGTGAGAAGCTCTTACTATCTACTATTGTGAGTGAGACAATTAGGTCAAGCAAACGGTAACAAGAAATGCAAGGAGGTATCTTCATTAGTACCAGAGGCCTAGATGTGTGTCTGGGGTACGAATTAATGTAAGGAGAAAAGCAATAGTCTAAATGATACTATGATATCCGTTACTGGTAGTGTCAGAAGCATGTTTCAACATTTTTGTCGTATGTGCGGTGGTTTGTGATTGACTACTGGGAAATATCGAGATTGGTTATATCATCCTCTCCCCTGCGGTGTCGCTCCGCGTGTGCCCTCCACCGATAACTCATAGCGTGAACCGGTCCTCTGCGGAATGGGCTTGATGCAGGTATATATGTGGTACTCCACCCGGAGCGGGGCGGCCGCAGCATTGGTGTCTAGTACGCCCAAAATTGCGGGATGGCAAGATTATGTACCGGGGATATGTTGGGGGGGATACGAGTAGTGAGTGGGAGGGACGTTCTGTCATAACATCATAACTCTGGATTGTTTTGTTTGGTCTTGAGGGTTTTCCCTATTTGTGGGGGTGGGTGAGTTGTCCGGGTGCGATGGGATATAAAGCAAGAAAGATGTGAGGTCTCATGGCATTACCGGGCGGGCACGATACTCTCAACTGTATGCTATCAGTATCGACTAGCCATGGTCTAGCGAATGGAATGGATGATGGGTAACTCAGAATACTACGCCGCCTCTGAATAAGGGTGGGGAAACCCCACCTAGGGAAGGGGAAGAAGATATATTATTCAGTGAGATCGCTTTCCGGACCCTCACCCTTCAGAAGCTTCACAAGTATCGCGGGACCGGAGGAGATATCTGCAGTACCGAGAAATACGGTGCACGGGGGTTCGCAATGGATCTACTCATGACTAGTGAATAGCTAGATAAGCACGGAGTGGGGGTCTACCATATGTATGTGGTTAGCGGGCTTTGGAGACATATGTGATGGATAGATGATGGATGGGATTGTGATGTAATATTGGGCGTTGTGAGTGATATCGTGAGCTCGACTTGGATTCGTGCTAGCGGGGTGGGGTTAACTAGCGCTATTATTATGCTCTACTTGTTTGTTCTATTCTAGCGGTATTCCCCAGCAACGCCAACTGAACCACCCTCGCGAACAAATTCACTGTATCATGTCATAAGTTCATTCCCTCACTCCCGCCGCCTACCTTTTGCCTTTCCTTCCTTCTCGCTCCAGCGTATGTCGTGCCGGTATAATAAACTGATGCGGTCACATAAGCTAGATCGCATCACATCCCGTCACTCGCATTCTAGGGACAAAAAGAAAAAACGGACATCCCGGTCAAATACCCCCCCCCCCCCCCCTTCCTAGTGAAATAGCGTCTGGTGAGATATCATAAATAAACAAGTAAATAATTGGGTGAACAAAAAGCTTACCGAGAACGCCGCCGTTCATTTCGTGCTGTGTGGGTAAAAAGTGAAAGAAACGGAAAAGGTGAGACAATTGATGGGGAAATAAAGCAGATAATCTAATACCTTGATGGCAAGAGGAAGAAACGTACTTATGGGAGAAGAAAGAGCAAGAAAAGAATGAAATGAAATCAAAAGTCTTTTCCAAGTTATCGTATCCATCCCTTCAGTCCGCCGCATCGCCGCCTCCTCCACTCGCTCCCCGTCGCGATGCCTTTTTAAACCAGAAGCCAGTATCATACCATAATCCTTGGGCCATCCCAATGTGAACCATGAGAGAAGAAGAAAAAAGCCATATTTCTACTTGCGATTCCCTAAAATCCGGTAGGGATCGAGCCATCATCCGCCTCATATCCAAGCCATGGCTACGTTCATCTCTTCCGAGGATCCATCACTGTCATCGCCTCCTGTCGCCCGCAATAACGTCCACGGCTACAGTCTCAAACCTGATATTCCGTTTCCACGTCTGCGTACACTTTTCCACTCCACCGCTCTCTATCCACGTGGCGAGGTTCTTGCACTGGCTCACGTCAAACACCTCAAGATTATGGCAACCTTCCACGACCGCTTCCACGCCCACGCCTGTGACGCGCACGCACCCACGTACGGAAAGTTCACGAAGTTCAAGTAGATGTAGGCCTATCGCCCTGAGAGATGAGTCCGACACCGCGGATCCGCAGAATGACAACTTGAGGACGGATAAGTGCGGACAGCCGAGTGAGAGGACTTCCGTTGCTGTGTCCGATAGGGCGCAGCAGAAAGACTGCACAAGTGGGATTAGCTACAACTTCGAGGGCGAGGAGGAAGAAGGGGGCCTCTTGAAAGGAGTGAGGAAAGATATACCAAATCAAGGCTTCGGAGACCTTTAGCCGCGTTCGTGAGGAAGACTACCGCGCTGTCGGTGAGATAGGTGCAATCCGCTAGACACAGGCTTCGTAGTCTCTCAAAGCGCGTCATGCCCCAGCTCTGGAATCCTTGGTCTGTGATAGTGGTGCATCGCGTGAGATCCACATGCTCCAATCTGCGAGCCGCATGCGCTGCAAGATGGGACATGGTGCGGTCGGTAACGTGTTTGCAGTAACTTAATGTCAGCCGGCTGAGGTTCGGGCATCCGATCACGGTGCCTGGGGCGGGGTACATTGGTGGTGGTTGGGGTGGGGCCTGCTGGCCAGGATTGTATCTTGAAGGGTTATTCGCCGCGGCAGCCGCAGCTTGTGCCTGCTGCAGTTGTTGTTCCGCATACATTGGGTGGAATTCGGGGACAACCCAACCCACGACCCGCGCCAGAAGTGTGTCGCTCACTTTCCGGCAGTTGCTAAGATCGATTTCCTCCAGCCCTTTCGCACGGTTTGACATTTCGAGTATGGCCTGCCCGGTAATGTCCCAAACACTTTTCATTTTCCAAACTTTGACGTTCGCGCCGCAGGTCTGCGCGAGGACCGTGAAACCTTCGTCACCAATGTGAAAGCAGTTTGATATATCTATCATGGTGGGCCTATGTCCCACAAAGGGAGCAATCGCATGTATCAACACATTGTCATTGATCACTCGGTTATAGGGCTTCAGGTCAAGAGTGGTTAGTAGGTATGCAGAATTGGTGAGTAGCCTTGACCAATGTGTCGACACTTGACGCACTCGCATCAACTCGTGAAGTTCCATGTGCTTGAATATCTGAATCAAGATATCATCCTTGAATTGGCCAATATTGAACCTGGAAGGCTTCCGGGAGAGTATACGCGCCCGTTTTACCGTGGCGTGATGTTCCGGGGGAGTGGTCGCATGTTTGGTCTTTACCGGCGAAGGTGTTGTGGATCTTGAAAGGGGGCTTGGGTTCTCTTCCGTTGGTGAAGAGCTACTCGATGTAGCATTCGACTGTGGGGGTGGTGGAGCAAGTGAGCCTCGCCTAGACTTCGACCTAAGCGATTCAAAGTCCGCGGGTAGGTATGGATCCGGATCAAAAGGTTCGACAACGTTCAAGTCATTCGGTCCCGTGAATCGTGACTCGGGAACCGTCAGGTTCATTGACGGCGCTTTTGGGAGATCCGATATATCCAATTTGTCGATCGACTGGGTAGGGGTTGCCGGCGCGTCCCTCATGAGCACGTTTTCTCCATCCCCGTCCATACGGTCCCTTGCAGTCGTCTCCAGCTGCTGCTGCACCTCCGGGGGACACTTTTTCCAAAGTTCCTCCAACACATCTCCCTCAATCACCAGACATTCCACGGGCGTTACCGCACGAACCGTGGCTGTCCTCCTGGGCGCCAAAGAAAGAGCTACAACCTCCCCAAAATGTTGGCCCTTTCTCAATCGTGCCTTGACCTTGTTCTGCTTCGGGTCCATAACCAATTCATCCACGACCTCAACCTCACCGCCCACAATAAAGTATATCTCCCTCCCCATCGAGTATTGCTGTATGATGGTCTGAAAGGGCGCATATGTCCGGGGGGCTGCACTCAATCCCAGGAAGTGAAGGTTTTCCTGGGGGAGATTCGCGAATAATGGTAGTTCCTTTAGTAACTGTCGGATATTGACCTGCCCGCTTCCCAGGGCCGAATTGGTCACCCATTGACTCCCAGGTTTCAGGGTGGAACCGGGGCCTCCAAAAGCCCTTGGGGCATCGGATTTGAGATAGATGCTATCTCCAATCTCGACATCTCCGTCCGAGTCGACCGCCCTTTTTACCCCCCCAATCCTCGGACTGCTTTCCCTCTCCCTTTTCTTCTTGTTGAGCACCGTCAAGCGCTCCTCCGCCTCCTCCCTAATAGCCCTTTCCACTTCGGGAAACTTGGGCAGCTCCCGTTGGAGCGCTTCCTTTGTCAAAACGACAAGCAAACATCTGCTCTGGGCAATAATCGTCGCCGTTCGTGGTATGTCCATCAGTATGCCAATTTCTCCAAAGAACGCTCCCGGCCGCAATTCCGCATATGTGCTTTCCCCATCCCTCGAAGTGACCGCTACAGCGCCTCGGACGAGCCAGTACATAGCCTTTGCTTCATCGCCTTCGGTGAGGATATAATCTCGCGGTGAGTATGGCTGGGGCCTTAGGTGCGTTGCAACGGCTGACAAGAACTCCTCGGGGGCACTAAGAAACAGGGGGAAAGAGCGGAGTCTCTCCAGCAACACTAGTGGCATGCCATTGGAAGTGGTGAGAGGGGAAGGACGGGCGGGTTTAGCAGGGTTCGTCTGCGACTCGAAGTGATGTACAATCTCAATCGTGTTCACATGGCCGTTGGGGTCGTCAGCTCCGGGGGGAGGAGCCGGGGAGAGGACTATCGGGGGTGCGCGTCGCCTGTGGTGCATCGTTTGTAGGATTTTGCGAGAGAAACTGCAATGCAAACTATATTATAGAGTAGATAATGGGGACGACTGGGAGAGAAGCGAGAGTAGTTCTTTATGCCCTGGGGGATATCCGAGCCCCGAAACACACGCAGAGTGGAACACGGGTTCACGCACACTAACAGACAGCGAGAGGGAAAGTGAGAAAGCAGACACACGGGCCAAATATGGAACAAGCAGCTGACTCGAGTTTCTGTCCGACGAATAGAGTGAAGACACCCCAGATAAGCAACGCCAAACTGGAGCCGGTATTAGACTTTGGGGAGTGGTGCGACAACAAAAAGATGCGGAAAACTCCTCAGGGACCACTTCAACGCAAGTGCCCAGTTTCTGCGAACCCCTCCGTATCCGCCGCGGTATGAAGCAATAAATGACGATTTGGCGGGGAGGGGGGGGGGGGGGGAACCGTTTAATCTACGCGAGTTACGTAGTTTTGGGTCGGTGGACAAGAAAAAAATGTCTGAGGTTCGAGATGGAGCGGGAGGGGGGGAATGAGATGCGGGTAGTTGTTCCTCGTTTTTCCTTTTTTCCTCCTTTCCTTTTTTTTTTCCCCTCGTTTCCTTTTCCTCGATCGTCGTTATTGCTGCTTAATTTCCTTTTGCCTATCCGGTTCGTCCAAATTCTTGAATCTCTCTCCGATCCTTTCGAAGGTTCCCAAGCAAGCCCCTTTCACACTGTCCGCGTTGCGGAGTCTGTTCCTGCGCGCAGGCTTCGCCGAGAATGCGGATCGCCAATACAGGTTCGTATGGGAAGTAGTGGAGGGGAGGACCGTCGACGGATAACGGGGGCGGGGAAGGGAAGAGGAGGGAAGGGTGGGGAAGGGTGGGGTGAGGATGGTGGAGGGGTTTAAAGCGTGAGCGGAGAAGGGGGCCCCTGTTTCACACTTTCTCAATGCCGCATCCTTATGTGCAAGAGCAGTTGCGCAGGCGCTGAAGAGGGGCTTCCTTTTTTGGTATGGTGATGACCTGGGGGTGGGGATGAGAATGAGAAGCCGATGGGGGGTTTTTTTTTTTCTTTCTTTCTCGGTCGAGAGTGAATGGGAAAGGGGGGGTTGGAAAGGGAGAGGGAGAGGAAGGAAGGATGAGGGGGCGGGGTGGGCAAAATCTTGATACTGTGAAGGATCGTGGCTTTGGAGACGGGTGGCACGAAACAGGACAGGAGCAGAAAGTGACCGGTAAGCTTCCAGAAGTTCTGGAAGAGATCAGGTCCAGTATCGGTGTGTGGTGTGTGTGTGTGTGTGTGTGAGGATGGAGGGTGCAGCTTTGGTGCCCGGGCAGTGAGAGACAGTGATTGTGGCAGTGGGAGGAGCGATAACCTTCCAGGTGGTGGTGGTAAGGTGAATCGTGGCGAATTGGAGTGAGAATAGCTTTACGGCTGCAGGGAGTGTGGTTGCTCTACTGAGCTACAAGCTTCGAAGCGAAACCAGCAAAGGAGAAGCGATGTCGATGAATGTGACAGGGGTCTGTCTTCCGCTGCGGAGCTGGAAGTGAGGACAGGAAGGGGGCCTTGAGGCTGGAACGAATGGATGGGGGAGAAAGCCTATGATATCCTCCAGTAATCCTGCAGAGAAGCCCAGAGGGGGAAACTTGGCCGTCAGGGAGAAGCATATCATCATAAGTGCCATAACCGAGTTACACGGGAATGCACGTTGATGCCTGTGCTGGCGAGTTACCTACCCTGCTTGTATTACATAAGGCCATGGAAGCAACTTGCAGATTTACTCGTACAGTGACCCAGCCCAGGACCTTCATCCGTGTCGTATTTGTCGTGTCTGTGAAACAAGGCGAGGGTGCTGTGCGTGAAGATATCATATCATGTCTCTTGGCGCTTATCATACGGTGGGTGTAGGCCTGAATACCACGGATACATCTGTAGGCCCCATACCGGTCGCCGCCCAACTACCGGTATCCCCCAATCCTCACGCACATAGAACGCACGGAACCCAAAGTACCGGTACGATACCAGTACTGTTCACACGAACAGAATCCCCCCCTCTTCCCTCACCAAACCTGTGGCGCTGCCGGCAAGAAAGAGAGCTCAGGCGGCAGATGCAAACGGAGCGCGGTATTGCTGTGCGATAAATAAATACCGTAAATAAATAGGACGATGATACCTGTAACTTACACCCCTAGGAAATGAAAAGCGTATGCCACCGCGTGCGGTCAGCACCTGGCACCGACCGTAGACCATCAGGAGCGCATTTTGCACTGCCGGTGTGAATGTATGCGGGTAAACAATTCCTCAAGCAAGAGAGGGAGAGGGGGGGGACATTCAGCCTCGGGTCGAAAAGATAGGCCAAGTTTGTGTGCAAGAGAGGACGCGACGCACGCCAAAAGTCCTTGGACTTGAGAAGTTTGCATAAACCTTTTTAATCGCCGGGGCTGAATGCCTCTCAGTTTAATCAATCAGAATTCGCCTCGCCAGTTCATCCGTCCCTCAGAGATGAGAATAAGAAAAGAAAAATGCGAGTGAATGAAAACAAGATCAAAGCCAACCGTACCGTACCGCACATACCGGTATGCACATAAACTCACCATGATTTCGCCATCGCTGTCATACCGCTGCGCCAAAGGAAACTGCAACAAGGCTGGAGAAATGTGACGTGAATGACGATATCCCCCATACGGTACTTGTACGAGTATCGGCACTGTGTACTACCGTACGGTACTCAAAAAGCGCTCGAGCACCCGCAACAATCCATCACATTTCGCCTCCCGGAGGGCAGAGGGGCGTACGAGTAGACTACCGTATCTCGAGTACCGGTACAGTACTTGCCGTTTTCAAAGGTATCCGGAAATCGGGCTCGGCTTGGCAGGTATTGTCCCCCTTGGCCCAACCATGTACTCAAATACATATAGAAGAATCAAGATGGCAAAGTAACAAATACCCAAGAAGCACTATCAGAGGTTTCCACTGCGTTTTGCTACTCACTCTTGCACCCAGTGGAGATAATAGTGCGGTTGTCCGTGCTGCCAAGCCATTTCCCCCATTTCCGGATACTTTTGCAAGCGGCAAGTAGTGTAGACTGACTTACCGGTACTCGTAGAGATCAAGGGGGATGGAAGAGGGGGAGGAAGAAAAAAAGAAATTCAAACCGGTAATGATAGCCTTTCCTCCCCGTCCTCCTTTTCCTTCCTTCCTTCCATCCCTTCCTCCACCAGTCCACCCTCCCCTCCCTCGCTTGCTCGCCATGCATAGATAGCCGAATAAACGAGCGAGCGAGAACCCTCCATCATTTTCCTTTTCTTTTCCTTTCCTTGCTTTTTCAATTCCTGCATAAGTTGCTCGCTTCAGCCCATATGCTAATTTTCTTGGAAAAAGGTTCTCCACCGCCGTTACGCCGGATTGTGTGTCAACTACTTTGGTACCTTACCGGTGCTTCCTTGACTGGCACCGCATCTTACTTTCCTTTTTTTTTCCTCGTAGCATCTGCTTTTCCTCTCTCCCATCTGCTCATCCACCCTAACCCTATGACACGAAAAACCTATACTTGTAATTCGTATCATATTACTGTAAGCCCTAGCGATCCAAACCATCGCCTCGCCGCAGCCCTATGATTCTCACACGGCTTATATTTACGCCATCTTCTGGCTTCGAACGTTGGTTGTGGAAGGAGGAAAAGAAGCTTTAAGAGTGGAGGGGGGATTTGCCCGACGGGTGAGATGGGATGAATGGTCAGCCCTATCCCCGTGCCGGATCGAGATATCAGAGCTGATCATTACCCGATGCTGGCTATGTGTGTGAGATGCTTAATGACTCGGATATTTTGAGATGCTTTGGGAATTCGCTTCCTGTGGCATGCACTGGTACCCGGAACTCGAGTAAACCTGAGCTCTAGCATGAGCCACATGAATCTGGATTCGGTCCGCATTGAGTGCGCTGCACCGTTGCGGGAAAGATGGCCAGCTCGTGCCGCAAGTGGCTACAATCGAGCTTTGATTTTCAATCTTGGTTGCAACACGGCTTCCCAAGTGCCCTTTTCCTCCTGGTTCTGGGTGGCAGGAACGCGCTGGTCACTGCGCCGTTGAAGTTGGAAACATGAAAAGTGCAAAAAGTCGAGTGATTCCTTGTGAATATCGGGAACAGATCCCCCGATAGAGTTGTCAACGGCCAGCTGAATGACTAAGTAGAACTGAACTTTATCAGGTGGCCAGCCTGCCAACCGCATTATGTGCTCATCAGTAAGAAAAGTAGAGTAAAGCAGGATACGGTATGTTCCTTGTAATCCTGCAGAACTCGCGAGGCGCTGAGTAATAATTGCCGGCCATTCCGGGAAGGGGGCAGTACTGTGTGCCGATACCAAACTCTCGCAATTGCTCAACGAACGAATGAAGAAGAAGCGAGTCTTTGGTGTGGAGTGGTGGTGTGAGAAGAGGTCTGCTGATCCGCGGGTTGGGCAATATGCTGGAGGAAGTCAACTCTCAGCAGATACGTGATCAGGCTGTGTTGTTTCTGGGTAGGGCAACCCGGTAATTCTAGCTTTTGCAGCACCAACAAAACAGAGGCCTGCGAAGGGTCTCGGTTATTGTCGCGGTGCTGAGGTGCAGAGGGATAGCTGTGAGGAATGAAGAAAAAAGGGAAAGGTTCATAAATGGATAGAGGGTGGTAGATCTGGTTCTAATTGAAAGCGAGGAGATCACCGGAGATTGTTGTCTCGTTAGAGCGATCCTGTGGGGTTGGGCTTGATGGAGAAGATGTAAAGGGGTAAATACGGGGGAGCAGTTTGTTTCGGTCGTACGAATATGATAGTACGGTAACTGACTAGCCTCGTCATCGATCCTCTCAGTTCCAAGCATTAGATTAATTAATGGTGGGATCCCTATCTCTTTTCACGTGACAACGGGGCGCTCGATGGCTGTTGGTATGTTATGATAGTGGAGGAATTGACCCTATGGACAGGAATGAGAAAGAATCGAAGGAGGGAAAGGGGAGGGGCAAAACTACACTTTATCGGCTGCTTAAATAGAGGAAAGTCTCTAGCTGTCGTGGTTCTGGAGCGGGACCCTATTAGCAGACGAGGCTGAAATCAGACGGTTGGGGGAAAGTGCGTCTTTTGCCTTAGCGGCTGTGATAAAATAGGCCACGGAGGCCCGATAATGAGAGGGATGATAATGCTATACTGTGGAGGGGTATGATACAATGGGGCTTGCGG